CCAAAGAGGAAGGCGTCACTACGCTGTGGAGGGTGAGCCTACCATCATCATCATCGCCATCATTTTCTTCACTTGGGCCTGAATGAGTAGCCATTAGTCCAGATGCAGTAATTTAATGTAGAAATTTTAATTGATAAAAAGGTTTGGATCGTTTAAAGTGGTCCTTCGCCCTGAGTAGATGCTGCCCGATTTAACATCACACAAACATTACATTAGTTCTTTTTTATTTTTCTTATTTAACTATTTAGTTTTTCAAGCCGTTGTACTTGTTATTGTACTGTTAATGGGAACTGTGAGCTACGACTGCAGCTTTTATTGAAGGGAAAAAAACTCTTGCAGTTCACTGCGAATCCTGAGCAAAAACAAGAAAAATGACCTCAGTTTTGATTCTCTGATATTTTAGAATTTGGCTTTTTCACAGCTTATCCTCATGTTTCCAAAACATTTATTTTCCCAAAATTCTTAGTTTTTCTTCTAAACCATTTCCAAACTGAAAGATGTCACATGTTTTAAATCTGGGTCTCTTATCAAACACAAATCTCTAATCTAATCGTTGCGCGAGACTGTGGTGCAGTGTTCGCTGCTTTTTAGATTAATTTTAACTCTGCAGGTAAAATACATCGATTGAAAAAACGCTCATAGATTTAAAGACTTTGTTTTATTAGTTTTTACAGCCCTTGTTAAAAAAATGTGTCTATAAATATTTTAAGTAATTTCAAACTGAATTTAAAAAATGTAATTATTTTTTATCTTTATTAAAACTTTTAACTGAAACAATTTTTATTTGCAAAGCACTTTACTCTGACCATCTGCAGTACTTCCATGGGGCAGCAGAGGGCAGTGTCGCAGTCTTTTTCAATGTATCAGAATCAGAATACTTTATTATTCCCAGAGGAAATTACGTGGTCACAGTTGCTCCAAGACGGGAAGGACGGGGATCTTCTTTTTTTCTTATCTCTGCATCGTCTTTCTTTTTTTCCTGATTATTAGTTATCTTCCTTTTGCAACAGTTTTCCCACCAAAGATGGTGCAAACATAGGTCAGATAAACTGAATACTGAGTGTTCAGTTTAGTGCCTCAGTTTTTGTTCAGTTATAAACACTTCGTAGTAACATTTTAATCTTTTCACTTAAAAAAATAAAAAAATTCTGCTTGCAGGAATCTAAAAGCTTCATCCATGAAATTCTCACTATATGATTAACAAAATTTGACACTTGTCCTTTCATTTTATGGAGTAATTTGTGTGCGACTGCTGTAATATAAATAACAAAAGTTAATTGATTTTTAAATCAAATTTCCTGATGAGCGTTAGTAATAAAATGAGGATTTAAGTGCTGAAACCTAAACCAGGACTGATCTCAGCTATTCTGCTGAATCAAAGACGATAAAAAGCTGAAACTGTTAATCAGAGCTACAGCATGCTCTGAGGGTCGCTGACATCCCTCCACCTCTACCCTCGCTGGTTCATTTCCCACAGAAAAGACTCCAGACGTCATCTGTGGAGCGTTCACGTCTGTTTGTTGGTTCAGCAGCTTTCTCGAGTCTCTTTGGGTGTTTTTAATAACTGAGCTGATGACGACTCTGTTGTTGCAGGGTTGCATTCCCACCATGGCTCGAGCGGTGGTCGTGAACGCCGCTCAACTGGCCTCGTACTCTCAGTCCAAACAGGCGCTGCTCGATTCAGGTGCCGCACGCACACACGCACGCACGCACGCACAGTCTTGCAGTGACGCACACGCTTCATGAATATGTTTGTGTTTTCAGGTTATTTTGGAGACGATATTCTGTGTCACTTCTGTGCCAGTATGATCAGTGGTCTGGTTACCACGGCAGCCTCGATGCCCGTCGACATCGTAAAGACCAGGTGAGACTGAAGGCGTTTGATGAACTCTTCTTCTGTGGTCGAGCCGAGTCTGACCACCTTCTCCTTTTTCTTGGCAGAATCCAGAACATGAAGATGATCGACGGGAAGCCCGAGTATAAAAATGGTTTGGTGAGTCGCCAATTTTATTTGTTTTTACTTGTTTTTATTATTACATTTAAGTCATTAAAATCTTTTTTTTATTTTTTTTTATTTTTTTTTTTTTTCCATGAAAGTTAAATAATGCTCTGAAAGTAGATGAGCTGATGAATAAATAATGTAATATTGTTTCTGGAAACGCTGTGATTTTGAAGTATTTGTACAGGTTACTTGTGTATCTTTTATGTTCTTTGTGTAACATAATCAGTTTTTGACAATCCGCAATACACATTGACAGGCCTCTTTATTAGGTACACATCACTAGTAAAACGTTTTATCTTCAGAACTCTTTAAATCTTAATAAATTTAACAAGAATTTTGCTCCATATTAATATCATATCATCACACAGCTGCTGCAGGTTTGTCAGTTTCTCCACGATGAGGAAAATGCACCATTAGAGTCAGGCCATTGGAGTACAGTGAACTTATTTTATTACGTTAGAGATGAATGGAGGTTTTTGACATGTGTTATCCTGCAGATATCAGGAAATCTGTACACCGTGGTCATGACAGGACAATGCACTGAGTCACTGCCATGTGATTGGCTGATAAAACATAAGTCAAAGAAGTTTAACAGGTGTTCCTAATGAAGTGGCCAGTGAGAGGACTGATATACTCTCACAGGCTGAACCAATGTTCAGCCTGTATTAATAAATAAATAAATAAATGTATTAATATAATTTGTTCCGGTAATAAGTGTTTATATTCTGGGCACCGACTGAATTATCTGTGTCATGATCAGGAGGTGCTGGTTCGAGTGGTGGGGAAGGAGGGCTTCTTCTCTCTGTGGAAAGGTTTCACCCCGTACTATGCCCGCCTTGGCCCGCACACCGTCCTCACCTTCATCTTCCTGGAGCAGATGAACCGCCTCTACAAGACCTACGTCCTCGACGTTTAGCCCACGCACAGACAGGCACACACGGTCTTTGAATTCTTTCTGTAAAGAGAAAAATGTAAATTAAATGTAGTTCAGACATCATTCACAGATGTTTTGAGTAATTAAGTCTTATTTGTAGAAACCCTGCCCCACTGTCTCCCTGACAACACGCAGCATCATGATGGGTAACCATGGTAACAACCATGGCTGAGCAGAGACTCGTGGTTGAATAAAGACTTTTTGACCTTGCTTTGTGTTGTCATTTCCATCACTTCCTCCTTGGACTCCTGTTATTAATTACATCAATACGTCGGTTAAACTTTATTGTAGTCGATACTGATGTTGATGCCTCTCAGTGGCTCAACATAACATCTGGCACAGCACAGCTGTTATGAAAGTAAGGGAGAAAGTTTCTCCAAATCTCTGGACCCAGGAAACCCAGCTTGGTCCTGATGGTCTTCCACACCAATTTTCTGCCAGGGTGAGTTTAGCTGTTAATAATGTAGACTCTATTATTAAATTAAATGAAAAGAACAAATTACACTTTTATGAAACCTTGTGCTGTTTTTATGTAGTTTCCATGTTAGCAGGCTGCAAAGTGCTCTATAACTGTAAAATGTTATAAATGGATCTAAAAGTGTTTAAATCTTCAGTTTTAGATCATCCTCAGTCTAACCTTAAAATCATAAGGGACAGCATTACATTTCTGATATTAACAGTAACTCTGGGCCTCTGGAGTGTACAGCTAATGTCATCTTTCTAAATATGGATAACAAAAACTAAGGAGTGCTGAGTCATTAAAAAATACAGACTATTAGAGTAACAGGTGTGTAGTGCCACGAACTAGCTACCAAAAAGCCTCAAACAAAGTGGCTATGCTAGCAGCTAATCTAGCAAATGAATTAAAAACAGTGATTTTAGATGTTTTAAAACTACAACATGATAAGCTGTGTGTCTTCTTCATAAGTGACGTGGTTGTATTTACCTTAATTGAACAAGTCATCAGTTGTGGTAAACCTATCACCAGGTAGACTGGTCAGAATGCTCTGGTGACAATCCATTTCAGTTTGTCTTTTGCACAAGTGAATCCACCTTATCCACCTCTGTTTGTCTGCCTGAATTACACTTACACTGCAGGGGAAACTGAACAATAACCAGAACAAAGTCTAAAATAAAAACTGCCAAATATCTGCACCAATAAGTCACGCTTTATTTTCTCAGCATCAGAAAAGGTTTCATTTCTGACCTGCAA